GTGTGTCTGTGTGTCTGTGTGTAAAGCCTTTGATGTAGGGAAATCACCCTTTTGCCCTAAACACATTCATATTAGACTGCCAGAAAAAGCTCAGACAGCTTGTTATTAAAATGGTGGGCTCAATAGACCACAATGGCAGCAATCTGTGAGACCCAAAGCTAATTAGATCCCTTTTCACTTACACAGTGGGGAAAAAATAATAACGGCTGATAAAATGGCTTGACATTTGATGTTTGCTCTGTATATTTCCATTTGATATTTCCGACTTGCGTCCAGAAAAACGGTTCTCTACCACTGGACCATTACGGCCAACTTTTGTCACACTCTATATTGTTAACTCATCTTCAGACATGCCAAAGCCGCCTCTTGTGTGAGTACACCCACGCAGCTTGCTAATCAGGTTTTAGCACCACAAATGCCATGAGGGCTCAGCTGAGTTTACACAGAAACAAATGAGGGAATCAACCTTAGCCAGTGGCAAATCAAGCCTGAGAGAACAGCTGATGTTTGAGCATGATGGGGTAGACCTCTAATAGGGGAAAAAGGCTGCATTTGTCTCCAGACCTTATTAGCTTCAGTTTATTTATTAGACTGCTTGTGACTGCACGACTTTAATCTATTTAGAAGAAAATTAAATTTTTCTATAGCAGAAGTTACTCAGTTCTTTCGGCAGATGTAAAAATAAAAAAACACAGTGAAGGCCGGGGAATATAGTTGTGGAAATCATCGTATTTAAAAAAATATTTTTGCACTGCGCTGAGTACTGAAGAGCTGGTGTCTGATTCCTTGGATGGGGAAGCCATTTTAAAAGGTAAAAAAATAAGTACCATAACTAACCACCAGTTAATGTGTTGGAATAACAGAAGTGAGCACAGTCTGGGGGCTATTTTACTTTACCATTGCTAGAGCTCTAGTACTGAAGGGATAATTTAATTTCAGCTTTTACCATGGAATTGAATGCAGGCTGGTTGTCATTTATAAAACAACACACTGGTTGGACTTTTAAAAGGTCCAGTGTGTAGGACTTAGTGGCATCTAGTGGTATAGTTGGAGATTGCAACTCTCTCACTTCACCCTCCCCTTGAAAGTGTGAGGGAGAGACTACGGTG